GTCATAGCAACACTGAAATTTTCAGTTCATCACAAAACTTCAAAGTTTCATGGGACTGATTCACTGATTTCACAACTTAGCACATTGCTTTTTACAGCTCATAGGGGAGCATGGCTCACACAAATGGTCATTTAGGAATTATCATGTGAGCTTCTGTCAAGCAGTAAAGGGCTCAAGGATTTTACTCCTTAAGATGCTCCCCAGACTCTGAACTTTACCTACCCACAGCAAGCAAAATGCTTTCCAGGTATTTGCAACAACCTGTGTCACATTTACTGAAAACCTTCAGCTTCACTGATTCTCCAATCTCTGGCACTCCTCTGCAACTTTCAACCACCTCCCAAGACATTCCTTTCATACCAAAAGGAGCTACTCTATTCCTTCCATTGGGAGGATTAATAACATCCATTAAACTTTTCTGCACTCCCATCCACTGAATGTCTTGCCCCTCCCTCCTCTCTACCCACTCTTTTCTCAAAATACCAACCTCTCATAAAGTAAAATCCCTCCTTCTTAACAAAGCTTTAGTCTCCTCATTATCCACCCTGAAGAAAACTGTAATTTGAAGCAAGAATACATTTTAAATACTTTGTATAATACTGCAGAAATTTTATGCAAAGAACATCTTTATCCTGAAAGAATTTAGAACCAAATCACTTTGGTCTAAAACAGAGGTATTGGGAGCTACATTTATGAGCACATAGAAGGTTTCTACATTTAAAGGACAGCAGAACCTGGGAGGGTCTAGCATTCTATTCTGCATCCATCTACATGTACACATACGTACAGATAAATATAAAAATAGACACCCACACTCCCAGGGAGGAGAATGACGTATGTCAAATTTTAAAGTGTTACACTGGTATCATAAATCAAGCAAATATTACCTTAAAATGGTCAAGCCATCAGGAGAGGTAGTCTGATGCTTGCTGAGACATAAGCCTGGAAGAATGATGAATCTTACAATTGCAGAGGGTGAGCTACATTACTCCCCAGGGGAAACTTCGAAAACATCTCATCTGGACCTTTTGAGTTGGGAGAGTACAGGTGCAAATCTTAAAACTGAGGTATGCTCTCAAAGCATTCTCATTCAGCAACTGCAACTCAAGAATGAATGGAGCTTGAGTTTATCAAAGCCCTAAAATAATTCTTTAATGGGCAGTACAACAGCCTAGCAGAATGTGAAAAGTCGGTGTCAAATGTCAAGCCCAGTGCTTCATGCTGAGGAAAAAGCAATTTGGATTTTTGGCAGTGCAAGCTAAGCTTTTTACATAAGACGTGATCTAACCTGAAGTAATCAATCCTGATAGGTAAAAGAGAAGTGCCTGGTTCATCTAAGCAGAAAGCCCCAAGGTTATGAAAACCTCTGTCAATTTCTACTCACCACTAAACAACTTGGTAAGGAACATGCTTTTTGACAGAGCCTCAAGCTGTTACACAGAAACATTTAAATATGAAGACCTTTTCAATGAAAAATCTCCTCTAGCTCTGGAGATCTGCCTATTCCACAAGACATACAGAGGAAAAAATAGAGACAGTGAGAAAAAAAAATTTAAAAAAAAGCATTAAGAAAAAGGAGTGGGGGAGAGGGGAAGAAGAGAGAGTGAAATGCCTCATAACTCTACTAGAAAGGCAATTATGAGCAGATTACAATTGATTTTCTATCTATTTTCTGACTGAAAATAACTGCAATTTGAGGCCAGGAAGTTAGAAAAATGACTGATTCTTATTACACCATCTCACCTTTGCTTTTTTAATAGTCTACTTTTAACATATAATTTAGCAATTAAAACGAAGTGTCAATTCTTTCAAGCATAAAAATATGGGCTTGTTCAATTAATGGGTTTCTTGATTCAAACATATGGTAGAAGTAGGACATTTATTGTAAATATTTAGCAAGCTTGGAGACATGAGGCATTTTACACATAACTATACATGATAAGAGATATAAAGCATCACCCTACAACTTCAGTCCTAGGACAGAAATTATTCAGTCTCTTCATAGAAACAACTCACTGCAATATTTGTACAACATCTGTTTCTTACAGTAGCTCAGTTTTCAGTACCCCAAGTCAAAAAACAAGGTGCAATCACCTCGATCATTAATAAGGCTGCTGGCTAGCTCCCATGGCAACAAACACTATGGAAATGACTGAATGATGAAATATCTCTTGAATAACTTAGAAAAACTCTTATCTATGACTACCTAGCTGCATGTGAGACATTGCTTCAGAGAACAGCAAAAGCAGCAGAATAATATTTACAAAAGAGGAAAAGCAGAAGTTTTACATCACACATTTTCTACCCTTCCTCCTAGTTACTATAAATCTCTCTCCCTACTATTTACTACTGTTATTGCCACCGAGGCATTCCAGTTTTTAAGAATTATTTAAAATACAGATTATGAAGAGATTGATCACTGGAGGCTGAGGCTACCAAAATCTAGATTATGGTCGGTTTTAATTAAAAAAGAAATAAAGGACAATTAAGGAAAAAGTAACAGACTCTTTATTTCTCAAGGGCAGAAATTTTAGTAAGTGGTTCAAGACAGACGTTAGGGAGATGATGCAGAAAATACTAAACAAGATTTTATGACTCCTGTAATGAAAGAAATCAAACTAAATCACACATCTCTTTTCTACCAAACTTGCTTAGTTGTAGTTGCTTAGCTGTAGTCATTTCTGAGTACAACCAAAACTGACCTGAGCCAAATAAGTTCCTCATTTTACTTCACACTGACTTTGAACTGCTTTTTCTCCAGCTTGCTTAAAGAGTACTTTCAACTGCATGTAGTATGTATAAGACCTCACAAAATAAAATTTCCTAAGGTTTTTGATTTACCTATGTAAAACTGAGCAGTAAATATCTAGTCAATAAGTTTCATCAAATATCTAACTGCATCTCAAATATTTTCAAGTCTCAGCAACTGCAAGCCTAGTTTTCCTCAAAAGTATCAACAGCTCTGGAACACCAACAATGTTTTTAAAGGCTGGTACAACCCAGAGAAGCAGGCAGTGAAATCACTGCAGCAGAGTGTTGTTCAGCACAGCAGTCAGCATGAAATGCACAGTCTGCACAGATGAGTCAAGTCTGGATAATCCCTTCACGCTCCGTCAAGTTGAGAGTATGAGGTTTGTTTTTAAATTGCATACCTTCAATAAACTCCACTTCTCTGCATTCACATTTTAAAGCAGTATTTTTTAACGCGTGTTTTGATTTGCAGATGTGTAGAAATACAGTTAGTGGAGTTTTGTCTATCAGGATCTTATAAATAATAACTGCCTTTTTAAAAGGATTGCAAATGGTAGTGGTAATTGAAGCTCCACTGGGTGACTGCTGCCCAGAAGTCTGGTGTAGTAATAAAGGTGTAATAACCATGGTAAGATTTGTAGAGAGATGAAATACTCCTAACTGGTTCAACTACATCCATTAGGAAAATACAAAAAGTAAGTTTTTGAATTTTCAAGAGTAAGCGGTCTAATTAATAAAGAAAGAAGAGGAAGCAGGGAGAGAGAAAACAGAAAATTCTCCCCTGAATTCCCTAAAATAGTTGCAAATGTGTTTTACACTGACATAATAAATTCTCTTTAAAATGCCAACATGCTTGAGTTCAGATTCATTAATGACAGATTACACTCTGTTGAAGTGTAGTACCACCCTGGAGCATTGCCAGTTAGAAAATTCAGTTCACTAAGATATATCTAATATAATCCTTGAAGAAGTCTTATTGTCAGTTCACTGACTTACTACACAGGCAAATGTTACATGGTAAGGAGACAGTGGAAGAGGAAGTAACCTGCCAGTTTGAAAACCCAGACATACTTGAATGGTTTATTTTCCTTCCAGATCAAAAGACCGTGCTACTGCTATCTTAAGTATGCTGTTAATTGCATAACCCTAAGAGCTGCAACTATGCGTTATGTCTCCGCTTTGCAAACACAGATCAAGAGGACAAGACACAGTAAACACGACATTTCAATCCATCTGCTGTTCAAGAAATGTAGCCCGCCGTTCAGTGAGATGCATTTACTTAACCCAACTTCTGGCAACACCATCGCTTATTTCGCCCTGTCAGATGCACCAAACCAGAGCCAGGCACGGGAGTGCGAGCCAGGGCCAGGTCCGGCTGCAGAAGGTGCTGCACAAGCACAGCCCGGCGGAGTTTCCTTCCCCGGGGGCATTATAAAATAGTGTCACCGCTCCACAAATACAATCCTACACGCCCGGCGCTACTCAGACATGCCTGCAGAATTACGCCTAAAACACACAGGTGATTGAAAATTAATTTTTACGAGAAATTACGGCTTAGAAGCCACAGCCAGATCTGAGAGCAGTGAAACCAACACATATTGCGGTTCAGTTAGAGCAAGCAAATTATGCAGCCTGTCCTCTCACACAAAGCGGAGGGAATAAATCTACACCCTCCTCACAGAATTATTAAAAACAAAACAACCACAAAAAACAACCTCAAAAGTTAGAAGCAGGGGAACGGCAGGGTAGGTAGAGTACCTGAAACAAGTTTTAAATTCCTTGTCAGGCTCCCGGTGCGCGCGGTACGCGTGTCCCCCGGGCCGGCCGCAGCTCCGGCACGGCCGCGGGCGGGGCGCGGCGCAGCGGGCGGGCCGGCCCGGCGCTCCCCCGCCGCCATCGCCGGGGCCCGCCCGGGGCCGCTGAGCCCCGCGGCCCCGCAGCCACCCACCTGCGGCCATCGCCGGCAGCCGCCGCTGCGGGCGAGAGCAGCGGCCGCAAGGTCGCCTTCACCTCGCCCGCCGAGGCGCCGCCGGGCCGCCCCTCGCCGCCTCTCGCCGGGCACGGCCGGGGCGGACGGACGGGGGGCGCCTGGTGCCGGGGCGCCACGAAACCCGGCGGGGAAACCGCCCGGCCCGGCCTCGGTGGGTGGCGGGCAGGAGAGGGACACGGCTCACCCCCCGCGCCGTGGGTTCCCGCCGTGAATTGCGAAGATTGCCCGGTGCCCCCCTCCCTAAACGCCGCTACGTTACCGGCTGGGGCCAGCGGGAAGGGCCTGGGCGGCGCGGCCTGGGCAGCTGGTCCTCCGGCCCGGCAAAGGTCCTGCCGCCATCGGAGAAACCTCCCGGTGCTCACGGGCGCTCGCTGTGCAAGTGTCCCTGTGCCCCACCGCCCCGGCTGTGCAGGTGGAGAGAGGGCGGTCGGAAAGCTTTTCGCCAAGGATCACGAACTCCCTTTGTGACAGTGTTGGGAGAGACCTTAATTTCCGTCCCGTGTTCTAATTACGAGATGTTTCCTCCCACCCCGCAGTTACTTTTGTGCAGTTGAAGTAATCTACCTCTCACCATCCCACCCAGCCTTCTGTGCTTCTGCCGAGGCGGCTGAGCGCCAGGAGCTGCTTAGAAGATATGAATGAAAGTCTGGTGTTGTGATTACGGCTTGTAGCTGATGGAGCACATCGTATACAAGATAAGACATACAGCCATTGCTACTCACAGGCTGCAAATGTGCCTGTGTGTGTGTATATATATATTTATATGTATATATGTAATTGTTACCCATTGCTATTCTACTATTGGAATTTATACAAACCTCTTCTGGTACCCACCAGAAAATGGGCTAATTAAAAAAAAAAAATTACATCCAATTTACACAAATTCTACACAGAAATGTGAGCCCAACGTGTCACTTTGAAGGGATTATTTTTTCAATAAAATGTGATAGATTTGCCTCAATAAAAGACTGTGGAGGGACAGGGCTATGTTGCTTTCCTGCATGTTTCCACAAACCCTCCCTCTTAGAGCTGACATAGCCTGTAGAATGACGTCATGATTTTGTTTGTTTGACTCATTCATTAAAAAATCTGTTGAATTTTTCAGTGGATCTCATCCCCATCCTAGGCAAGAGTTTGGAGGGTTCAGTTCATGATGCAAAAGGCCACCTCTCTCCCCTGGTTAGTTTACTTAGCTGTATGGAAGGAATTTGAGGCCTCTACTTCAGAAATTAAAATGCTTGTTCCCTCAGTCCCATATGCTGATGCTGTTTCAGAGCCAGAGTGGTGTCCAAATGTGACTATGAATATTAATTTAGTGGGAGAAATTGGTGAAAGAATGAGACACTTGTAGTGCTACTTTGCTGCTTATTATGGAAGCCGGTGATTGAGGAGCTTATGAGTCAGTTAAAAGCACTGCAGTGCTGGAGAAAATGATTCTCAATTATCAGAATAAGAGAGAACAGAGCAATATGGAATTGATTTTGAAACTACTTAAAATTACGAGAATTTCACATTAACTTCTTTTTCTTAGTATACTATACCTCCTCCTGAGTTTGTCTAAAGGGTCTTTTTGACCTCATATCCTGTTTAGAAGATCTTGTGATTCTGTCAACCTACAGTACCTTGTGAGTGATTAAAACATGCCACTCATGGGCATCATTATGTCTGCTCAAATGGGAGGGCTACTCAAAATGAAGAGAGCTGCTTGATGTCACTGTGCTGCTCGTCGGTAAAACCTCATTTCCTCCTTATTGCCTTAGGCAACAACTTGCTTCTCAATTAAAATAGAAACAGGATTCTGACTTGGGGATCAGAAACCAGGATTTTTCTGTTCTGTGACCACACACCCACGATATGGTAATCGTACTTTTGAAGGAGGGATTGTAAGTGTTAAAAGACTTTCTTGGGGTAGGACAGTCAGAGGCTGGGGATTTATATGCCTTCAGAACTTTCCGCATCTCTTTCTTCCTTCCCCATTGTATGTCCCCAGTCATTCCTACATCACTGCTCTTCAGGTTTTGCTGAAACTCAGGATTTCCATGGCTTTGGGACTTTTACATGGCTTTCCATTTTGGGACTTTCACAACACTTTCCTGGTCAGCTAATGAAATAAAAAATTGTTAATAAATGAGAATGTACTTGCAGGATTAGTCAGTACTTAAAAGCAAGAAGAGGGAAAGCGGGATCAGCTGCCCTCTTTGGAAACCAGAACCTCCTTTTTTTCCAGAATCCGTATTGGCATAACTACAACGTAATATACAATACCAAAAGTTTATAAACAATACTTTTTCTGTAAAACTGATCTTCTGTGTTAACTCTGATTTCCCATGTGTTCCTTACCAATCTCTATCAAGTCAAACTTCCATTAACAGATCATCATTTATCTCTATTTTTAGTATAAGAAATGTACATTCATCTTTTCAGAATTTCTTTACCTTGTCAATTATGTTGTGCACTTCAGCTATTTTCTATTACTTGAATATTTTCTTACTCAGACAGGGAATGGCTCTTTTATTCCTTCACTTGTCCAATGCACTGGCCAGCCCTTCTAATTGAACCTACTCCTCACCCTCTCAGGCTGGGAAACCTGTGTTTTGTGCTTCTATCCACAACAACCTGCTTCTAAGGTAACCCCCCAAACTCTCTTGATCCACCTTGTGCTTCAGACTATCAGACATGCCAGAGCAGATAACTGACTTCAGCATAATGTCATCAGTATCAATGCCTGTTGCTTTTGTCCTCTTAAATAACTGCTGCTTTACTTGAAGGTCCTGAACATTAAGTGTATTTTTTGTTGGCTTTCTGCATTGGTTGTTTGAATACCTTTGGTAGGTAGACACTTATCCTTTCCTTCCATTGAACCACAATCACGATGCCTGATTGCAAATGGACATCCTTGAAATATCCAGATGGTTTGTCAGCTCTTTGTTTAGCCTTCACCTAGCATTTTTTAACCTTTTTTAGTCATCGCATTTTGTCCAGATATTTTTTCATCTGAGAATCTTGTGCTGCTTCTGCCATTATTTGTGTGGAAAAGCCTACGTACTTATATGACAAAGCTGCTACAACAATGTACATTTTGTTAATTTATGTTACCACAGCAACTGAGTCATGCAAAAATGTAGTGTTTCATTGTTTGGTATTGCACTTTGGCATTCTGATAAAAAGCTAGGGGAACGTAGTCTGTGTGCAGCTGCTATGGAACTGGGTCTTAACTAGGTAGATAACTGTGCCTATTGAGGAGGTATCAATAGCTGCTGTCAGAATGGGCTTACCAGGTAGGATCCTGTAGGAATCTACATCCAGTTCTGTTCAGTTTTGTGAGAAATTGCAGGCATGCTGGAAGAGGGGATTAGGATTTGACATGTAGAAAACTGGTCTAGAAAACATAAGACGCAGGTTGGGGGAACAAAAGCAGTGAGCCTGGACAGGTATAAAAAATTGCACAAATTCAGGAAATGAGCAAGGGGTGAAAAAGTAATCTTCCAGAAAGGAATCTGGAGTCTACGAGAAGTCACAAGCTGAGTATGAGTCAGCAATGTGTTTTCCTGGCAAAAATGGTAAACATTTCAGAAAGATACAGATGTGGGGAGAAGTCTGTGGGCTCTGTGCAATATTGGTAGGACATCAGTGGAAGGGCTAATTTTGTGCACCACAGCTCCAGAATTACGTGAGCCAACAGGAGTCAGTGCCGGGTGGACAGAGGACTGGAAAGACTGAGGAAGCTGGAGTTGTTCAGGCTAGAGAAAAGGAGGCAGAAGACAGACATGCTAAGACTTTTCATATACTTAAAAGGCCATTGCAAATAGAAGGGGAATCATCTATTCTTGGTAGGTAGGGTAAGATGTAATGGACTTAAATTGCATCAAGGAGGAAAAGCTTTTCTAATGGTAACATTAGTGAGGCACAGCTTTATATCACAGGGTGTAATGGTGGCTCTGTTACCGGATGTCTTTAAGTATGTACTGGACAAATATTAAGTGCTATTGATCTGGCATTGGAGTTGGAGGATGGACTAAGTGACTAATCAAGCTCTGTTGCAGACCTATTTTTCTGTGATTACATATAATCTGAGGCTTCTCATTAATCATTGTTTCTTTGTCTAGTCCCATTGTACATTCTGTTTTCTTTTCAAGTCGGATCCCTGGTCATCTCTCTGTTCTCTGAAGGACAAAAGAATATTTTGTCCCTTTTTTCTTTCTGTGTAGTTAAAGGCCAAAGCTTTTCTTGGTTTTTTGGTAACCCACAACAGACACAAACTGATGAGTTACATTGCATTTTACTGCTGAGATAATGATTATAATTACATGTGAGTCAAACATGCAATAAAAATTATTTAGATGAATGTTGTTAGTCTGTACAGACATGTTCTACATAAATGTACAAAATGTTAACATAAATCTGAGATTCTCTAGTCATATACTAGAAAAAATTACTCAATTCATAAAATGTTACTGTGGTTCAGACCAGTCTAATGCACGTAATCCCAAATTTGCTGATCTACACTGACAAGAGCCCATAAAACAGTTTTAAATGTAAACTGTACTATGCTACTTTTTTTTTTTAGGCATGATTTAGTTTTGAAAAGTCTTGTATATTTACTAAACTCCATTCACTTCTACATTTCAGTTTAAAATAAATAGCTTATACCAAGAATAATTGGCATTTGTTTACTTGGCAGATCTGTTCAATGGACAACATTCCTGACAGGTTTTTTGGGTTTTTTTCTTTCTAATCATTACTTTTTTCTAAAAACTTTTGTATTTATAGCCTTAAAGGAGCATCTCTTCAGAGCAGACCCATGTGTGTTTTGGGCATAAAAAAAAGCTGTTGCAATAAATGCCAATGCTAAATACTTTATTTGCTGAGCTCTTAAAGTGAATGCTCATCAGAAGTTTAAACCTACTCTTTTTCACCTTAAGGACGACTTCTCAACTGTACAGTCATTTTATCCTGTCAGAGAATGAGAATTTTCTTTCTGTAATGATTTTTTCTGAAAGACTAATAATGTCCTATTCTACACAGAACATGTATCACCCATGTACCTGTGCTGATGCACATATTCATAGGTGATGGGGAAGAATTAGGTGGGGAAAAAGGTGACAAAATTTCTCAATACTTTCTACAAAAGTATTATAATACAGGACTTCTCAAGGTCCTAAAACCTAAATTCTAAAATGAAGAACCATTGGCTTCATGTAAGGCCAAGGATATTGGAATTGTAATGAAAATGTCAATGTGGCTGAAAGAAATACATATTAAGAAAAGAATAGGAAACACACAGTATCATTATGCCCTTATTTATGGTGCTCCAGTTTTTTAAAGCCACAGGCAGTTCTTGCCTTCACATCTCAGAAGAGATACAGTAGAACCAGACAAAAGTAATATGGATAATCAGGGATATGGGATATCTTTTCCATGAAGTGTGGCTGAACAGATTCTTTAGCCTGAAAAGGAGACAGCCAAGAGAGGGTATGAAAGAGACCTCTAAACCATGGATGGCACAAATCCCATGAATTGAGTATCTGTCATAACACAAGACTGCCACAACATGGCTCCCTCCACATCTTTCTGCTTCACACCATACTCAGCCCCGTGTAAAAGGCTGCTTTTACAGCTCTGCCTAGGGTTAGGGTTCAGAAAACCACAGAGCCCAGAGCTCCATGCCCACTTCACCTGCAAAGTCATGCCAAGGAGCGCACAGGACTGCGACAATACGGCTTCCACCTCCCCTTTCTGCTTGGCACCAGTCTCATGCCCATGAGGATTTTACTGCTCTGCCTAGGATTAGGGTTCAGAAAACCACAAAGCCCAGAGCTCCAAGCACACTGCAACTACAAAAGTCATGCCGTCAGGAGCACAGGTCTGCCACAACATGGGTCCCTCCACACCTTTCTGCTTGGCTTCAG